AAAAAAAAGAGCTCATGCTCGCCAGGTAGGGGCTGTGCTGCTGAGCTATATCCTCGGCCCTACTTTATTTAAGAGCACTTTAAGTATCTTCTGTGTATTGTCTTGCTAAAAATTTATCCTAGAATGTTGCTATAAAGTTTTATGATATGCATTTACATAATGACATTTAGTCACATGTACCTAAAAATGTTCATTAGCAACATGAGTATAACACAAACTGTGTTTATGTATAATTACAGCTTTATTTCTCATGCTACTCTTTGTACTACTCTTTGTATTACTGCAAAGAATTTGGGAAATATATAATTTTAAGTGTTATATATAATCACATAAACGATCAAAAACTGCTTTTTAGGTTTTCAATATATAAAAATCTCTAATCTGATTCTTTTCCGCTTTCAACTTTTCATATTTCATTATAAAAATTCCAAATTATCAGTCATGTATGTTTGCTATAAGGATGAAGTAGCTTTTATCCCAAATCTTAATGTTTATACTCCAAATATTGACATTTCACTTTATTCCACTTTGAAGTGCTTCTCTAGTATGTTATGGGTGAATCTCTCATATCACTTAACAAAATCAAATGTTCCTGATAGCTATTATATACTGTTATTAAACATATTAGTGATTATTTTAATGCTAATTAGTTGAAGTGACTTATCTTTCTAATCATTCAGGGTAGAAAATGATTTACTGCAGTTTATTACTATAGTTTTACATATTTTAGTATCAGTTGGGCAAATTCTTCTACATAGTATTTTTAAAGTTTGCCTAGACATCATTACATTTCTTCAAATTATTCATCAATTTTAGGGCCGGCCAGACAGCTCAGCAGTAAAGCACCTGCTTGGGCACATGCAGGGGCTGGGTTCCATCCCTCCCTGCTGTGTGGGCCCCGCCCCTGGGCATGCTGAGATGGTGACTGAGACTGGCTGTGGTGGGGCGCACCTGTAATCCCAGTGCTTGGGAGGCTGAAAACAGGAAGGATCATTACCAATCCCATCTGTGTAGTGAGACCCTGTAAGCCCCGTACTAACTACATAAAAGAAAAAAGATTACTCATAAATTTTAAATTCCCAAGGAAATTTCATTTACTCATTAAATAACTAGCTTTGAGAAAGTTTGTTATCTTTCAGTGATTATTTTCCTTCCTTCTTTCCTTCCTTTTTTCCCCCCTTTTTGGTTGTTTGAGAAAGGGCCTCACTGTGCAGTCCAGGCTAGCCTTGAACTCACTAAGCACTCCAGGCTGGACTCACACTTGATGCGACCCTCCTGCCTCAGTTGCCCACATGCTGGGACTACAGGTGTACGCTGCTAGCCAGGAAATAATCTCACAGATTATTTTTCTACAAGAAGTGCATTCATTCAAATTTCAAAAAATTCAAATACTATTTTTTATATATTAATTGCCTATATATCATAAGTATTAATGTTAAGGTTTAGTTTTTGGTGCAGTGATTGTAAGAACAATGATGATTTTGTTTTTAAAGAAAATATCTGAGGAAATCCTAAAAGCTATTAGACAAAACTGCTTGTATTTTCCGAATATGCACAATTTTCCAAGGAGCAAGGCCCCCACTAACGCTGCTACACAGAAACACACTCCAAGCCACGCTCGTGTATTCGACTTGGGTCTCTCTGAGTCCTGCTATTAATATGGCTGAACAAGAGCCAACACAGAGTGGAGCCAAAATAGTCAAAAAACATTTAGTTTTGTAGCAAAGAAAAAGAAAGAAATGAGGAAAAGACCAAAAGGGGGGAAAATCAATTTAGCAGCACGAAACAACTGAAAAAATGGTGTGAGACACAACTCATCTGCTGAAGTAGAAAAAGTCATCATTTTTACAGAACAGTCATGTTACAAAACTACAGAAGCTTAGGGGACACCTGAAGTATCTGCCCAGAAACGGAGTGAATCAAGAGAAAAAAATGTGTTCGTTTGAGCGGTGAATTGTGCTTACTAGTTTATTTATTTATTTTGGTGGAACTGGGGATTGAACTCAGGCCCTTGCACTTGCCAGGGAAGCGCTTATTCCACTGAGCCATCTCCCCGGCTCCACTAGTTAATTTATACACAGAATAATATGTAATTTGAAGAACTAAATTGTGGTTCCATCATGTTCAATAAATTTATATTTACGTTTTAAGAAAAGATCATTAACTTTTCTTAGACAAAATACTTAGAATAGGAAACAAATCTCTGAAATAATTTGATAATGAAAATTTAAAAAATCCAAGTACCTTAACTTCTTCACACAGTTCCGAAAGTCGAGCTTCTACATCCATCTCCTCTGAAAGGAGTAAGAGTAAGCAGAGGGAATCGTTCAGTATAAGATCTGAAAACTATCTTTGAAATTATACATAAATTCCCTTTAAAAAAGCAGAGGATTCACAATTATTTGGGTTATGCTCACTGAATTAAATTCAATACCATACACCTTCATGAATGTGACTTTCTTAGATACCTCTTAAATTCACTCAATGTCTTCATCGTTCAATAATACACTTCAATCTCACAAGAGGTCTGTGCTGTCAAAAATATGGATATAAGGCCACCAGCACAGCAGTGTTACAGAGAAGCAGACACAATTAGGTTTTATTTCACTGTATTTGTCATCTCCAATAGTTTAATATTTTGTTATATGCATATATGCCATGCTTTTTATAAAAAATCATTCCTAAAAAGTTAAAGTGAAATTAATCTAAATTTAAATATATGAGAATACAGGTTACTAATGAAAATAAATGCAAAATCCTTTTCAGTAAAAAGCACCTAATAGTTCAACAAGATCAGTTTTCTAATAAGACATGCTCAAAATGTGGCAAGTTTATGCCTACAATAGTGACTTATTTAATGTATGCTATCATCATCTAGAAAGAAATGTCTAATTTATAATTAAAATGGCAACATTTATGAAGTAATAAAAAACAGAATAGGAAAATGCATTATATTAAAGATTAAAATATCACCTTTAGATATATTTAATTTTAACTAGGAACAAAAGTAAAATGAGATTTCTTTAAAGGAAAGATAATCACACAATCATGATCACCGAAACTCTATGACCCCGAGAAAGCGCGTTTAATCGGTCATTTTCACACAGAAGTCTTCCCATCTATGCGGCCTGAACTCACTCAGCGCTGCCTTATCATTCCATTGGGATCTCACTGGCTTTTCTAAAGCTAGAACACACTGGCAGCAAATGCTGACCGAACTCACAACCTCTGCCTGCCAATGTCTGTTTCCACAGTACTCGTGATCTATTCCTGTGACAGAAATTATTAACTAGTTTTATGTAGCTACATATTTTACCTACACACTTTAAAATGTGAAAATGAAACGTTGCAGTTTTGGTATACTTTTCTAAGATTTATACCCAGGCTCAGATACATAGAATACACATTTGCGTCATAGGTGGTGAGAGATTCTTAAAGACTATATAAAAGCAAAATTTAATTTCAAAACATTAAAACTGAAATGAGTTCAAAGTCCTCTTGGACTTTTAACTGAGTTTAAAAAATTTCACTATAATTACATATTTTCTTCTAAAACAACATTTTATGATAAAATTTCACAGAAATGTAAATTTCAATTTCATAGAAATGTATAAACATGATCATCATATAAATTCTCTTTTGGAGCTGACTGGCTCCTTGTTCTAGTCAAGTACGGAATCTACAACATATCCTTCAACAATTTTCAAAAATATACATAAGAGTTTTAGAAACAATGTTAAAAAACAGGATTGTATTTTACATATTTGCACAGAAATTGGCATCCTGATCTGAAACATTCATTAAAATGGGTGCACAGTGTTCCCTGTGGATGCATCACATTTCTTCTTTGGCTCAAACGATGACTATCATCTTTTATTGTTTTGCTGCCAAAATAATATGATAAACATGCCGGCATCTATCATCACATGTGTTATTTCTGTGATACCAATCATAATAAATGGAGATAATAAGGTCAAAAGGTGTATGTATCTTACATTTATTCTCTATGTGATATTTAAAATAGTGTTCAGAAACTGTCAAGACAGTGCTAGATTCTAAAGATCTCACAGTTTTGAATCTAGCCATTTTCCTACCCGGCCAAATTGTGGCCCTTTTTTACCAGAGCCCACATTACAGTAATAGTATTCTGTGAAACTATTTACAATGCTCACATATAAACTGACACAAGAGCAGTGCAATAGTTTAAACAAAAACTAATTTTAATCATTACAAAGCATGATGAAACACCAAAAATGGGCAAAATTTCAAAATACGAACTTTTAAAATTATTTTTAAACATATTTGGTTGTTGCAGGGTCTCACTACGCAGCTCGGACTGGTGGTGATCCTCCTGCTTTCAGCCTCCCCAGCGCTGGGATTACAGGCATGCGCTACAACTCCTGAAGTCTGGCTGGCTCAGCCCACCCTGGGGTTGGGACTGGCATGGCATGTGGTGCTGGGAATCGAACCACGGTCCCTGTGCTTGCCTACACAAATGCTTTAGTGTACTGAGCTATCTCGCCAGCACCCAAAAAATGAATTATTTGATTTTACACTAACTTATATAAAAATGTAAAATTTTTTTCCAATAGACAACCTGTATTCAATTATTCTTTTTTCCTCCTGTCAAAAGAACTGATTTCTCTAAACAGTTTCAGTTAAAAAGTAATGCAACTTAAACACTGAGAAAGATTTCAACTTCTTTCCTACCGTTCACACTTCTGTCAAATGAAAGATATTTTAATTTTCGATGGCTTTTCATAATTTTAAAATGTAACTGTAATGTTCTGTTCAACACAAAGTAAAAACTGTCTAATTATAAAAAGTAAATTAAGTACGGCTGCTATGGAAGAGCAACAGTCTAAAGTATAATATGGAAATATATAAGCAAAATAATAAGATCATAACATCTGGATAGCTGTGATTTGATGGTGTTTCTTTTTTAAATTTATTTTTAGAAGGATACAGAATGAGTACAAATTGACTAAAAGCACAAAGCCAAACAGGATGTTTCTCTGCTCTGTTTCGGGCTGCGTGAAACTGGCTTCAGTCTTTCAACTACATTCATCATTACTGGGCCTATCCAAAGATAGTTACTTTAAGCAAACAAGGCAGTATCATTCAACCAGGAAATTCTAGCAGTACACGTGGTTTTGAAAAAGTTGTTTTTGTAGAAACTCAGAATATGGAAAAAGCCAATGAGATCTTTGTAATTACCATTCCCAGATTTAAATACCAATTTTAATATTACAAATGTATTTACAAACCAATTTTACAGGTAAGTTCTTAAAGTTGTGGGAATACATTATGTTAACAAATACACATTTATGAAATGTGAAACTAATTCAAATCAAAATTTATGGCTAATTAAAAGGGATGATTTCATTAACCTAGTTGTGAACATACCTACACAGCAGTCTTTCTGGGTTCTTGGCTGTTTTCTTCTGAGAAGGCGCTCATATAGGACCTGCATGTTGGCCTTGGCTAGTTATAAGGATTGCACACAGCACTAGTTACTATACTCCTTTTACAACAGAATGTATTAGAATTTTCCAACTTGTTAATAATAGATGTAGTACTGATTTGGTAATGTAGTTAATTAGCTGATCAGATTATAAATGATGTACATTTAACTTTATATTCTGCAGTTTTTATGTATATATATGAGCCATTCAACATTTTATATTTCAATATTACTTTTATGTTTTAATTTCTAGACTCAGAACTTTCATACTGGCAGGGATCCCAGACACCACCCAGGTCAGTGGCGGCAAACCTATGCACATGTGCTAAAGCTGGTTATTTGCTATTAAAGAAAGCTCTAACAGGTTTGCCACTACTGAGTAGGCCAACTTCTTGTATTTCTAAGTGTAGATGCTAAGACTTGGGTTGGTTATCTGACCTGAAAAATTCTAGATTCTAGGAGTCATTCTGGTTTTCACTAGAGCTCCTTGAATCAAACCAATATTTAACTTATGCCATCAAAAATGTACATCATTTATCTAGGAAAAAAGAAGAAAAAAAAGCAGAAAGGAATAGAAAGTATTATTTTAAAAGAGGGGAGAGAGTTTAGATCAACTATTCAAGGCATTGCTGTTTTTAAGAATTTAAATATATGCTTATTTGAAAATTCAACAAAATGCTAAATAATAAAAGAAATAATAAAAGAATTCTCTAATCATGAATTACATCTACTTATTAGAACTGGTTAATATAGTGATAGTTACTCAACAATATGAAAACATGTTCATGTCCACAATTTTATTTTGCTAAGACAAAAATAAAGAGTCTTCATAGTTAAGTTTTAGAATATGTAACAAACACTTTTAAAAAGTTAATAGCATTTTTAGATGTTCTCAAGGGGGACACATTCAAGAATAAACTAAAATTCAAAAAGAGGATTGAAAATACAAATAGTAAGGTTTAAGAAAAATATGAAGTATTACCAACAAATATTTCCTAAAGATTAGCCTTTAGGAGGGAGTAGTGATAGACTCTTGAAATATATCCCAGGCTGACCTTGATATTACTATGTAGCCCGGGCTGGCCTTGAACTCCTGGCCTTCCTATCTTAGTCTCCTGAATGCTGGGATTACAGGTGTGAGCCACCAGGCCTGGCATCCTAAAATTCCTAGGTAATTATCATGAGCTATGTGTCAATGCCTATACTTTCTGAAGTAACAAAAACTGTGTTGAGCTATTAATTTGGAGTAAACATATTAATAAGGCACTAGTACTTTAATTCTATTTCTATAATTCAGTTATATAAAATCAAAGTCTGGATTTGCTTTTGAATTTTTTTTTTTTAAGGGCGTGTGTGTGTGTGTGTGTTCGCGAGCAGGGTCTCACTACGCAGCTTAGACTTGTAGTGATCCTCCTGTTTTCCACCTTTCTAGTGCTGGGATTATAGGCGTGCACCACCACCATGCCCAGATTCTGTCACTGACACAGCATGCCCTGGGGGCGGGACCAGTGCAGCATGTGGTGCTGGGGATTGAACCCTGGCCCCTGCGCTTGCCTAAGCCATGCTTAGTCCGCTGAGCTATCTCATTGGCTCTCTGACTTATTTTCTGATGAAACATTTTAAGTAATTTGGAATTATGTCCATATTTATTTATTAACTGACTTCTGAAATTAAACATGGGGACTTTTTTATTATGCTAGTTTTTACATTATGCCTATAAGCCCAAGGGTACACAATATAAAAGCTACTCTTTCCTGAAATTAGAAAATATTATAAATAAATTATAAGTCTGAAGTTAAACATACAGAAATAAAATGCTAACATATCTAAACTATTTGAATTAAGACTTTAATTTTGAAGAGAAATGCTTTTGCTTATTTTTGATCACTAAACATACTTCCTGGGCTTTGAGAAGTATTTCTCCTAGGCCAAGACGCAGTCTGTGCATGTTTTCCCCCGCAAGTCCTGGGGGGACTTAAATGCAGGATCACACGCAGAGGGGCCTCTCCCGGGAGCCCAGGCCAAGGTGGCCCGCCGGGGCTGAGCTGCTGTGTGGCTGCGGCTGCCGCTGCTGGGACAGAGAAGGGCAGGCGCAGCCGAGCTCTTCAGAGGCAGTGCCTGCCAGCAGGCAGGAGGAGGCCGGAAGCACCCCCAGCATACCCCCAGCACAGGGCGCCCTCTCCCAGGTGGGGCTGCCCGCCGCCTGTCCCTGACCCTCCGCGGGCTCCCCTCCCTGCATCGTTGACGCACGGGCGTCTGAATCCAGGGGCGCCCTGCCCCAAGACCCTGGACGCTGGCCTGTGCACACGCTATCACCCAGCGCTTTCACACTGCATGCCGGTGCTTTTCATAAGCACTACTTTTCAGCCACACGACACGACCCTTGATTAATACTGTAGTACTAATACAATTTTGTGGTCATTAAATCTAACTACACTTTTGCTTGAATTTTTTTTTATTTTAATGAGAAGAAAAATTAAAACAATAGCCCAAACTTTTTAATATAATTCTATTACAATGATATTTTGAGTTTCAAGTCACATAATTAAAAAAATATAGAATATGATTTGACCATTAACTGTGGACAAGGAGTAACACAAGCTAGCTCTCTAGCACAAACTAGTCTTTCACTCTTGAAAGAGAACACTTAAAAAACAATTTACATTGGAGGCAGCTATCTCTCATAAAATTTTCCTGAGGGAACTAGAGAGGGATTCTAAGTATGTGAAATAGCAAAGAAAAAGGAGACTGTTGCAGAGAATAACTAAAAGGTTATTCTGCTCCTTTTGCTTATGTACCTGCATGCTCACTGAGACTGCTGAATCAGAAGACACTGAGCACACCGACTACACGGGATTAGTTAAACCCCCACGCCAGTACCAATGCCCTACAGTGAATGTAATCACTATGTGCTGCAAGCGTGTATTAATAAAAATCTAAGAAAAGAAAAAAGCCCTCGAGAGTGGTCCTGGTATAATGCTGAATGTTTTCCTCAGAGATGAACTGAGGTGAGGAACAAATCCTTGAAATGTCTTACAATTTTGTAACCCCAAACTGACAGTTATATAAACAGCCTAGCTAGTTGCAAACTCAAGAATTTTAGTAACAATGACAATTTTGAGAATGCATCAACTTGTTAAAATACTAAAAGATCTTTCCTAGCTTGTTCAAATATACAATGGTCAAGGTAAAAATGATTATTTTGAAGAGATAATTACATGAGCCTTTTTTTTGAGATGGGTCTCACTATATAGTTTAGGCTGGCCTAGAACTCACTATGTAACCCAGATTGGCTTCAAACTCACAGTGATCCTCCTGCCTCAGCCTCCCAAATGCCAGGATTACAGGCATGTGCCACTATGCCTGGCTTACATGTACTTTTTCCTGAGCTGATATTTGAAAAGAATATAAAACTAACATAAAAAGTCTGAGTAAGACTTATTTTGCCAATAATTTATCTTCCATAAAATAATGTATGTCAAAATATTCTATAAACTAAAAATGCTATTCAAAATCAAAGTAATATGATTTTTATAACATATACTGATACAGTACTTCTTTTGGTTTAAAACTGCATCTTGACTTTTTAAATGATTTAAGTAATATTTTAAAATACTATAACACTAAGTTATGTTATTCCTTGAAATGATGTAAAAGGACTACAGCCCTGAAGTAACTTAAGCCCAGTGCATATAAAGATGCTCCAAGTACCTACAATCTGCTTAGGTGGTCAAATATTTATAAGTACGCATTTAATTTACCTTCCCATTATTGTTCTACAGTTAATTTCATTTCCTTTTGTTTTGTCTTTTAAATCTTTTATTTATTTGGTACACGGTCTTGCTATGTAGCTTGGACTCATAGTGTTCCTCCTGTTTCAGCCTCCCCAGTGCTGGGATTACAGGTGTGAGCTACCACGCCCAGTTTCTACACGATATGCCTGGGGTTCCAGAGCCAGCACGACATGTGGTACCAGGGACTGAACCTGGGTCCTTGCGCTTGCCAGGCTAGTGTATGCCACTGAGCTAGCTCCCTGGCCCTTTATTTGTTTCTAGCACATTTTCTGATTATATTTCAGGGTGAGTCATATATTGGCACATTAAAAAAAAAAATCCTATCATTTCAAATTTAGCACCAAAGAGCTATTTCTCTGGATGATAAAAGTTTTAAATTTCAAAAAGTGACTATCAAAGGTGGAAAAAGATGAGATCAAGAGAGAAATGCAAGCAAAGTACATACACATTTTAGTTTCGCTACGAGAACTACAGCAAAGCTGCTAACAAGCAAGACTGAAGAGAATGACTTGAACCAGAGGACAGGTTCTGGCCACTGGTAACATACCCAGTTCTAGTTTCTGACAAGAGGGAATCTCTTCCGTTACCGTAATGAAGTAGCTGTGCAATCCCTTGAAGGCTAGCAGCAGAATGGCACAGAGGGTGTAATGAAAGCGGTGGGCATGATGGAGGAAGGCGTCAGCGACGACGAAACTGCAGCCCTGCCCAAGGAAAGGGGACACAGAGCGTTAGCAACCCAGGTGTGGAAATGTTACACCTGGCAGCTGGAAGGATTTTAACAGTATCTGAACTTATTCTAAAACAGAAAAGAAATTCACAACTATTTAGCGTTACTTAGGTAAGTAAATACATAAACTGTGAGCACAGTTTTCATCATAAACAAGCAGAGTAAATGACGGCCGTCACTTCTGGGCTGAGGGCCGGACGCCCTGCCGTCCCCACAAGCCCCTCACCCGGCAGTCACCGTAACGCTTGCCCTGCTCTGAGGTGGGTCTCTGCTCTGGCCCTGGTTCTCTAAAGGCTCACTGAGGATCTGACCAGCTCAGTTACGGGATTCGGTGGGGGCTACAAGAAGTTTTTAAAATATACCGCCTATGAAAGACAGAGCATCACTAAGTCTGGTAAAGTTTGAAGTTTATCAAATTGATTTTCATTATATGAAGTAGAATTAACCAATTTCACCCATACTTAATTACAACTGTATAAGTTGCTAAACTCAAATAATTAATGAAAGAAACATTCGTAGATAAGAGTTAAAAACTTTTAAAATTAGGAAAAAACTATGTAAGAAAGAAAAAAAGATTTTTAAATAGATTCAGTTCTTACATCTGGTGATAACTGTTTCGTGTAGCTGGCACCAAAGACCACACTTTCCAGAGTAGGAATCGCAGAGTCTCTGCTCTGTGCTGGTGCGTTTCTATTTAACCAAGTAGTCTTCACAGGGCGAGGAAAGCTGCAGGAAGAAGCGCCGTGACTGTCAGTGTCCCACCAGCACCGGCATGTAAGTGAGACACTTACAAAAGCATATATTACAGGAATAGCAAAATGAGGATTTCACAAGATTATGAATGCAAAGTATTCCTAATTTTTCCTTTAATAATTTGATTACTTATGAAACAATGTAATAAATCTTAAATCTAAGGCTGTTTGAAATTGCTTCTACATTGGAGTTTCAGGAAGTCTTAAATTATACTAAAATAGGGTTAGTTTCAGAGAAGCTAAATGAAAAATGACAGTCAAACTTCAATTTAGAAATACTCATCTGCCAGTACTAGTTACCAGTTAAAATGCCAACAATTCAATATGAACGCTATTTACAAAAATAAAGGCATATACTTAAAAACAGGGGAAAAAATCTACCTGATACCTTGATTTCTGAAAAATAAGGCACTACCTATGGCCATGCCACCCTGAGCATGCTCAATCTTGCAGGAAAAATAAGATATTTCTTCAATTCTCTTCACCAAAAGGCTGTGAACTTTAATAAAATAATTTTAAAGGTGCCTCATAACACTACTTCAATAACATATTAATTGCTTCTGTGAGTCTTAATATTACAATTAGTATTGTACAAATTTCACAGAGTAAAAAGCATTTTTTTCGGATGTTTAAAATCTCTATTTGAGATAAAGTTAGACAGAGTTTGGACTATGCGGAAGCGTGGCACAAGGACGGACCTAAGTCAAATGGAGTCTGCCCTGAGCTAACCAGGAGAGTCTGCTCCTTCAGCACAGGCTCCCAGGGCAACACTGCACTTGCTACAATGGGTTTCTCAGACAGCGTCATAGAAGTTGTACTTTGGAAAACTCAAATGTCAGGGGCCGGCCATACAGCTCAGTGGCACTGCACCTGACAAGTGTGAGGGCATGAGTGTGACTGCCAGTACCAAAAACATAAATCAGTAAATAAAATTCAAATATTAAAAGTTGTTGGGCAACAATATCTATTTAAACAATCTAAATCTATTTAAATAATTGCTGTAATGTCTAGGGTCACTCACAGAAATTATTTTGAATAAAAACATTTTAGAAAGATAATGTCACCCAGAGCCCAAAGATGGGAGGAAATCATAAAGATTAGAACAGAAATTAATTCAATTCAGATTCAGAAAACAATTCAAAGAATTAAAAAAAGCAAAAAGCTGGTTCTTTGAAAGATTAAATAAAATCGCTAAGCCCCTAGCTAACCTCATCAAAAAGAGGGAAAAAAAAAAATTCAAATACAAGCAATAAGGAATGAAAATGGTGTAATTACCACAGGGCCAGTGGAAATTCAGAAGATTATCAATAGCTACTTTGAGAATCTTTACTCTCACAGGATAGAAGACACAGAAGAAATGGACAGATTCCTAAAAAGGTACAAATTATCACAACTGAATCAACAAGATATAGCCAATCTCAATAGCCCAATAACAGCCAATGAAATACAAGATGTAATTAAAAACCTACCGGCAAAGAAAAGTTCAGGTCCAGATGGATTCACAGCTGAATTCTACAAGACATTTACAGAAGATGTAGTCCCTATACTCCTCAAACTCTTC